CAAACCTGAGCTATTTTTCTGCCTAGGTATGAAGTAAGATAAAAACTTCCTGGTAACACGTCCTCAGAGAACTGTGAGAAAGCGAAGGCTATTATTTACCTTACTATAAAGTTACACAATTGTTTACTTTTATATTTAGAATGCAAGTTCCTTGTAGGATTTTAACTTTTTGGACATCTAGGTTGTCGTGCTATGTGGACCAAAATGTGTTTTTTAAACTCTTGTTTTATACAATTAATGCAAGTCAGTGGAAATCTGAGTTCTTCTCTTTCAAAAAAAAAAAATTAAAAAAAAATAGAATTATTTTTCTATAAAAAGAAGCATTTTATGCTGTTATTGTCAAAAATAATTGTAATGAAAGTTACACGGGTTAGATTAATCTATTAATAATTTGCCCACAATTGGAAGGAAGAATTTCACAGGCTTTAGGGATGATAATAATACAGTGTGTGAAGTCACTCTATAATTTTCTTTGGAATTTCAAGAGAATCCTATTCCACTGCTGGAATGGCCTGGGAATAGCCCAGACCTTCACCCAATTGAAAATCTATGGAGCCGACTAAAGAAACTTGCTAGTCAGAAGTGACCCAGCAATAAAACCCAGTTAACAGAAGCCATCTTTCAATCTTGGTTTCTCATTATAACAGCTGCAGAACTCAAAGACTTGGTTCACTCCATGGGAAGATGTTGTAAGGCCATCATTCGTGTGAAAGGTTACCCAACTAAGTATTAACCGACATGGGGATCATTTTTGCATATCCCGTTTTTTCTATGGTGATCATTTTTGTATATCTCGTTTTTTCTACGTGTTTCCCTTTTCTTCTTTATACTGTTACTGCTATTCTAATAGCAAATCCTTCATGAAAGTTATTGCATTACATTCTTGATTAAATTATCTTTCCATTGATATATAAATTTATGGTACTACTCCCCAAAAAAGTGGTGTTATTAGCTAGTTTTAGAAAATACACTTTTCTCAAAAGGTTTCCACAATTTTGGGCACTACTGTATATCATTCTCTCTCTCTCTCTCTCTCTCTCTCGTTTGTGTGTGTTTGCGTGTGTATACACTCTGTCTGTCTGTCTGTCTGTCTTTGTATATATAATCTTTGTCTTTCTCTGTTTCTGTCTCTCTATATCTGTGGTATATCTATATCTATATCTTTCTCTCTCCCCCCCCAAATTTATATTCTTCATTAAAAAGTTTAAATCTTTGAACTGGTTCAACGAGAAATATAAGCCACCGGAGGGAACGAAAACTCTTTTATTTTACGAGGGAACAAAAACTCTTTTATGCTACCTATATTTAGCCACCCAGTTAATCAAAGATTAACCCTGCAGATTTAAGGCAGAGATCTTCAAGATTCCTTGGGAAAACACCTAGACGCAACCTGAATTTAACCATGGTTAATCTTCTGTTTGTTTTTTTTTAAAAAAACGTAGAAACCAGCCTCCCTGATTTAAGGACGACTTGCTTTGAGTTTTGAAAGTTGTTTGAAGGGTTCATTTGCAAATGACTTAAAATATAACCGTGCTTTGTTCAAAAGATCTCTGACCTTTTGTATTTTATTTTTTTTACAGCCAAGGACTTTCTCCGAAATTAACTTGGAGGAAATCCAAAGGCCGTCTTTTCAATGAATATATATATATATAAAAAAGTCCTACCGGAACTTTTAGGGGGCTATTTTAAGTCTCTGTTACGAAACCATCGCGGTGACAGTCTTCCAATAATTTGTACCATTTCAGTACAGCAGGGGACGAAAGCCAATGCTACTTATCACATGGCATTATTCACCGGTTTGGCTTCTGGGTGATGATTTATTTTCTTCAATAAAAACTTTTTGCTCAAGAACAGGGAGCTGTCATGATCTTGGCCGAAGGAAAAAGAATTGCTTGAAACAATCCCACAGGAACGAATGAATTCTCTCCGCTCCAGAGCATGGGGACATCAGCAGAATAATATGCTCAATCTATCTATCTATCTATATATAAAAATGGATGTGTGTGTGTATGTTCCAGCATAACTCTGGAACACCTCGAGCAATTTCAACCAAACTTGGTACACAGATGACTTACACTCTGGAAAGAAATACTGTGGGGGGTAAGACACCCCTAACGCCCCTCGGGGTGTGTGTGTTCTGTTAAGATACAGCCTGTTGTGCCTTAAAATAGCTTCTACTGGACTGCCTTAAAATGGCTTCTACTGTACAGCACAGTGGAGTTGCCATGGTAATGGCTTCACAGTACTCCACAAGGGGGCTCCCGCTGGTAAGGAGGTGGAAATCCAACATTAGAAATTAGTTTTGGTCTGGACATTTTCAACAAGGCTTTGATGATCAATAAAACATTACTGCAATTCGGCCTGCCTGCACCACTAAGAGACCGACACGACGTACTTCACGCAGATTACATACGAGAAAAGAACTACAAGAAGCCACTTCTGAATCAAGATCAGAAAAAAAGCACACCAAATGATCATGGATCAGCTAGCAAAACAACAAAGTGGTATCATTTTACTTGACGCTTCTGGGGGCACAGGGGAAACATTTTTAACTAACTTATTTAATTCTCACCGAAATCAGGGCTCAGGGTGAAGTTGCTCTTCCTGTCTAATACAGGACTGGGATAAATAAATACCCGGGCAACGCTGGTTTATCAGCTAGTATAAAAATAAAAAAGAACATAGACTCTCTTGGGGTGGCAACGACAAGGGGTTGGGACGTCCCCAAAAAATGCTTTTTCCAAAAGGCAACTGGACTTTCTTCTTGTTGTTTTTTCCTTTGAAAACGTTTCGAATTTGGAACTTTGATGTTATTATATATGTTGACGGAGGTTAAGATGACTTTATGCACAAAAATGGAAGGACACCTTGATTCCCACAACGGACGAATGGCTGCCAAAGTTGGTGGAGTTAGCAGGGAGGACTAAATTGACTGCATTGATTAAACAAAAACAATCAGCTGAAGGAAAGTCCGAACTTCCCCAAGGTCTTAAATTTATTGCTATTAAAAGCAGCGGAAGGCGCCCCAGCCGGGAACGCCTATCCGCGCAGCGAAAAACAGTTTGAATTAAAAGCCCTCTTCAATTTTCGATCGAAATAAGTCGCTTAAAACAATAGAGAAATAGGCACTGCAGTCTGATCACCAGCGACTGAGTGAAAAGACTGGACATGCGCAGTTGGAGTAGGCGGGACAAAGCTGTGGAGGAAGATTTGATTGGCACCCAGTCGATCTAATGACGGTGAAAGAAAACCCATACAGTGGAGTGGCGGAGCATCGAGGAGGTAAATGGCTAGTTTATACTACTATGTCAAAGTAAAAAGTTGAGGTTTGATGCTCTTATTCTACTGCACCAAAGGGAGTTGGAAATCAGTGTCTTTTCTTTCTTTCTTTCCCTTTGCCCTACATTCTCCTCTTCCCTTTTCCTACTCTTTTCTTCTCTATTTTTTATTTATTAGGTATTATAAACTAATAAAAAAAAGAAAGAAAGAAAATGCTTCAGTTCTCATCCAAGAAATTTCTTCGGTTATTTTCTTCTTCTTCAGTTTTTTTTTCAAAGGAAAAAAACCCCCCAAAAGTCCAGGTGTTTTTATGGAAAAGCACCTTTGGGACAACCAGGACATGGATGACTCAGAATCTCCGTAGATAATGGGGCTAAGAGATAAAATTCTCTGTTTCAGCTTTTTATCCTGCCTATTTATTGAAGGGCCTGGTGGCTCAGCAGACTGATAGCATTGTGATTAACACCAGCTGTCTGCAATTAAAGTAAGTTCGAATCTCGCCAGGCTCAAAGTCGACTCAGCCTGCCATCCTTTCTAAGGTAGGTAAATTGAGGACCCAGTTTGTGGGGGCAATAAGCTGACTTTGTATAAATATACAAAAGGATGAAGGCTATTGCTTAACGCATTGTAAGCTGTCCTGAGTCTCCGGAGAAGGGCGGCATATAAATCAAATTAAAAAAAAAAGAAGAAGAAGGAAGGAAGCATTTTGCCCAGACTATATAAAGACAAAATATCTGATCCGGCCCTGGGATTCACTCTCATTCAGAAATTTCCATAGATATGGCCTGACTTCTACAAAAAATTAGATCCGTATGAGAAATGACTTCCTTTGTAGGTATACAATGGAAGGTAATCTGCACATTAAAAAAGGAATGAGAATATATTAATCTCCTGAAGGCATGTGTTGTGTTCTCTACCTTGGGATTAAGTCGGGGTGGGGTGGGGGCTGATGCCAGAGGATTCATGCATCGTGATGAGTTGGATAAAATTCTGCTAGAAGATGTTATCATCTTCTATGAAGGAGAATAAAAGAGGAGAGCCAGTTTGATTTAATATTCTTAGGCGCCAGATGAGAAATTGAGAGACTGTGAGTTCTAATTCTACCTTGGGCATGGAGCTGTCCAGTCTCTTCTTGTAAATCTCCAGTGTTGGAGCATTCACAACTTCTGGAGGTCAGTCGTTCCACTAATTAATTGTTCTGTTAGGAAATTTCTCCTTAGTTCAGGTTGCTTCTCTCCTTGATGAGTTTCCATCATTCCTTCTTGTCCTGCCTTCAGGTGCTTTGGAGAATAGGCTGACCCCCATCTTCTCTGGGGCAGCTTCTTAGATATTGGTAGACTGCTATCATGTCACCCCTAGTGCTTCCCTTTGGTAGACTAAAGGTAAAGGTAAAGGTTCCCCTTGCACATATGTGCTAGTTGTTCCTGACTCTAGGGGGCGGTGCTCATCTCCGTTTCAAAGCCAAAGAACCAGCGCTGTCCGAAGACGTCTCCGTGGTCATGTGGTTGGCATGACTCAACGCCAAAGGCGCACGGAACGCTGTTACCTTCCCACGAAAGGTGGCCCCTATTTTTCTACTTGCATTTTTTACCTGCTTTTGAACTGCTAGGTTGGTAGAAGCTGGGACACTAGAGGTTGCCAATTTAGCAAAGCTTTAAAACGCCAAGAATAGCTCAGTGTCAAGAATCCTGCGGTGTATATGATTTATTTGGTATACTTACCCAACTCTTTAGATACGGGTGACGCAACAGCAATATCGCCTATTTTTGCAATACCGTCATAATAAGCTCTTCCCGCAAGGACCATACCTAGAGTTAAGAGATAAAAATGGGAAAAAAAAGAAGAAGAAAAAGCTTGCGTTTAATTGTTCTTGGAAGTAGTGTGCTTAATCATCAGTTAAATATTTTTTATTTTATTTATTATTTATTATTATTTATATTTATATGCCGCCCTTCTCCGGAGACTCAGGGCGGCTTACAATGCGTTAAGCAATAGCCTTCATACTTTTGTATATTTTATACAAAGTCAGCTTATTGCCCCCACAAACCGGGTCCTCATTTTACCCACCTTAGAAAGGATGGAAGGCTGAGTCGACCTTGAGCCTGGTGAGAATTGAACTCGCAGTAATTGTAGGCAGCTGGATGTTAAATGCTGCCTTAGTAGGAGGCATTAGCCTCCTACGCCACTCAGGCTCCTATCAGTTAAATATATAGTAAATATAGCCACTTTTGGCTATGGTATCAGGCTAGAAACTGGGAGACTCTGAGTTCTAGTTCTGCCTTAGGCATGAAAGCCGATTGGGTGACTTGGGGCCAATCACCAGGAGATTGTGAATTCCAGTACTGCCTTAGGCAGGAAAGCTGGCTGGGTGGCCTTGCGCCAGCCACTCTCTGTCAGCCCTAGGAAGGAGGCAATGGCAAACCACTTCAGAAAACTGCAGAGACTCCTATAGGCAGTTTCCAAGAGTCAGACCCAACCGAGCAGAAGAAAATCAAATATTATTGACAAGTTCGCCTTCCCCAGATAGGGATGGAGGGTTAATCTATTCTCCTGAATATAAAATTGAAGCTGCCTTGGTCTACAACAATAGGGTTTTTTTTTTTCAAACTTGGGAATTTGAAGATGTGTGGACTGTAATTCCCAGAATTCTCTTAGCCAGCCTGACGTATAACAAAATTTATTTATTTATTTTATTTATTTATTTTATTCGGCTTATATGCCGCCCTATCTCAAATGGACTCAGGGCGGCTCACAACAATAAAACACAAGCCACAATAAAAATAAAGACTAAAATCTAAAATATTTAAAATTAACCCATTAAAACCCTTAAAACCCTATCATCAGACCAGGTCAAGGGATTTGAAAAGCCAAGTTTTTAATTCCCGGCGGAAGGTGCGAAGGTCGGGCGCTAGTCGGAGCTCCAAGGGGAGTTGATTCCAGAGGGTGGGCGCCCCAAAATCAAGGACTACCTGCAGAATTGTTTTAGCCAGGATTAAATGGTCATTCGAAACCAAGGCTTCAAGCTGGTTAAGAATGGAAGGAGCTTAATCCTATTTACAATTCTAGCACTCCCTTTACCCTCGTTCCCGAATGGAGAACAAATGAATTGGACGTTGTGGTGTTTGCTAAGCAACTGGTATTTTTTAAACATTTACGAGAAACGGCTCCCACGGAGTAGGAAGTCTGTAATTTTCCCCATTCAGCCAGAGTGGAGATTTTAATCTTTCTGGAGGAAGGTTCTAGTTCTGCTTCACATCAAAGCCGAACCAGTTCAACGTTTTAATGAAGCCAGAGTGCCACTGGCCTTTGGCTCTTCTCCTCTGTTCATTATTCCCGTATCACGTCTGCACGTGATATTAATTTATTAGAATCATATCTTGCTTTGTTAGTTCAGGATCTCGGCTGCTTCCTCTTATTTGGTCTGCCATCAATAACCCTGGGAGATAGATAAGCTGGACGGAGGGAGGGTTAGAAGATACTTTAACAGCAACAGAGTTCGAAGGGGACCTTGGAGGTCATCTAGTCCAACCCCCTGCTCACGCAGGAGACCTGTACTAGGGATTCGAACCGACGAACTGCCGGCTTTTCTGATCGACAAGCTCAGTGTCTTAGCCAGTCCCTGACTTAACAGCCATTCGTTGAGTGACCGTTCAAAGTGACAACGGCAACGGAAAAAAACCTGATTTACGACCAATCCTCACGTTAATAATTGTCCTAGCATTCCCGCGGTCGCATGGTCAAAAATTCAGGTGTGTAGATATGGCATTTCGTACAAAATCCCAAAGTTGCTCCAGCTGCGAGACAATTGCAGATGGACCTCGACTTACAACCGTTCATTTAAGGACGGTTCAAAGGAATGACGGCCTTTGGGAACAAAATGATTTATGACCTGACGAGAAGCAGATCAGCTGTGCGGTCACGGGATTGCAATTTGGGGGGGCTTGGCAACTGGGCCACATTTATAACGGCTGGCCAGTGGTGAAATCCTCCGTGGATCGCCACCAGTTTGCTGCTCGCGCATGCATAGCGCCAGTGGTGAAATGTAAAATTCGTTACTACCGGTTCTGTGGGCATGGCTTGGTGTGGGGGGGTTAATGTGACTGGGTGGGCGTGGCCAACTTTTTTTTTTTTTTTAAACTTTTCAAAGCATTTTTTCTAATGCTTTGAAAAGCCTCTCTGACTATCAGGCAACTCAGCTGGGATCGTCAGAGACTTTTCAAAGCATTTTTTTTACCACCTCTTCGGCCAAGAGGTTGCAGGAAAAAATGCTTTGAAAAGCCTCTGACGATCCCAGCTGAGCCATGCGATCATCAGAGGCTTTTTTTTTACCTTTTAAAAGTATTTTTTCATCGGAAGAGGTTGTAGAAAAAATGCTTTTAAAAGTAAAAAAAAAAGCCTCTGATGATTGTGCGGCTCAGCTGGGCATGGGGGGGAGAGGGCGCAGGGGTTTTTGCTACCGGTTCTCCGAACCACCCGCCGCCATCGCTACCGGATCAGGCGATCCGGTTCGAACTGGTAGCATTTCACCCCTGCATAGCGTGCGCCAAAAGCACGCTCTGCGTGCAATCATACTGCACACCAAACATGCACTTCGCGCTGAAAAAGAAGACTTCACTAGGTAAGTAGAACAGCGAGGAGGGGGGGGGAACAGCTATGCCATGCGATTTAGCTTCGCTAGAAAGCAAGATTTCCTGCTTTCTAGCAAATATAAACCGTGCAGCACAGCTGATCATCGGAAATACCGGTTTGGAGCGAACCGGTAGCATTTCATCCCTGCTGCCGGCTGTGTCCTGCAATTATCCGATTGCTATTTCTATATGCAAGAATAATCCTGCAGCAATAATGACCAGAAAAAATTATGTTATCCTACTCTTAAATTTTCCCAGCCAGATGCTGACAAAAAAAAAAAAAGTCAGTTGGGGAAGTTGGATTCGCTTAATGGTTACGTGATTCGCTCAGCGACTGTAGTGATTAAACACGGGTGTTAGAATGGCCATAAAATTGGGCCCAGTCATATGATGATTCGCTTTATGACTATTCCAACTGCGGTCATAAGTTGAGGACTCCAGCCGAGACCGTTCAGGCTACGGTGTGCGTCTTACCAAATAGCCGAAGGCACACAAATAATTCATTTGCATCGGGCGCATAAATACCCTGCATTATATTTAAATGATGCAATTGGCAGGGCTTTGGTTAAACAAAGCACAGTGTTAAATTAATGGATGGAAATGGAGATTTCTAAGGCTTCTTTCATCCATCTCCATCGTGGTTTAATTTGCTACTTTCCCAAAAAGCTGTTTGAGTGGAAAAATATGTCTCCCAGGCGGACTGGAGGAAAGCCACATCTATGACATCTGACAAGTTGCCTTTAAAGTCCTGAATTGCACCACGAGGAAGAAGAAAAAAAATAATCTAAAATTATGTGCGTCCCAAACAAGACCATCGTCTCTAAGAATAGACCGTCTTTTGATATGATGCCAAAGTGATCAGCCAGCAAAAGGGATCTTCACCCCCGACCCCCCTTTTCTCTTGTCTCCTGCAGCCCCTTGCGGAGCAAATGAATTTCAACACAATAAAAAGAGAAATTGGACATCTAACTGTTGGATCTAATGCTTGTTTTCATTAGCAGAGGAGAAATAAGCTTCAAAACAAGTCAAAACAGCAAACGTTTAGTGATCTAGTTAAGCGGTTAAGAGAAACCAGGAGACTGTGAGTTCTAGTCCTGCCTTAGACATGAATGAAGGCTGGGTGACTTTGGGCCAATCACCAGGAGACAGTGAGTTCTAGTTTCAGTTTAGGCATGAAAGCCGGCTGGGTGACTTTGTGCCAATCACCAGGAGATGGCGAGTTCTAGTACCACTTTAGATATGAATGTTGACTGGGTGACTTTGGGCCAATCACCAGGAGACTGTGAGTTCTAGTCCTGCCTTAGACACAAATGAAGGCTGGGTGATTTTGGGCCAATTACCAGGAGATGGCGAGTTCTAGTACCACTTTAGATATGAAACCCAACTAGATGATTTTGGGCCAGTCCCCAGGAGACTGTGAGTTCTAGTTCTAACCTTAGGTAGGAAAGCCAGATGGGTGACTTCGGACCATTGATTCTCTCAGCCCAACCCACCTCGCAGGCTTGTTGTGGGGAAAAATAGGAGGAAGGAGTATTATCTACGTTCGCTGCCTTCAATTACTTATAAAATAACAAAGACGAGATTTTTAAAAAATAACATCAATAAAGTGAAATTCTGTCCCACAGCAGCGGGCCCAGATTGCATGAGAAGGGTGCCTTTTGGACTTTCTCAGACATCTCCTAAACGTGGGTGGCTACTGTTTTGATTTTCTGGTTTGCCTTTCTTTATTTGAAAGCTACTGCGGAACGACTTTGGATCCCTGACGATAAATAAATAAGATCCCCATAAGATCAGCAGTGACTCATCTCGAGGTCAGCCTGTTGTCCCTTTGCAACAGGGCTCATCCAGTGTGTGGCCCATAAAATAAGCTGATGCGTCAAGATTTTCCTATAATACAGGGGGAAGAAAAAAAAAAGCTTTTGCCAATATTTCATAGCTGGTCACTTGGATGTTTTTCTCGGGTGACCGGTTGATTTCTTTCTTTCTTTCTTTCTTTCTTTCTTTCTTTCTTTCTTTCTTTGGCTCAGTCACCCAGCCAGTTTTCATGTCTAATGCGGAGCTAGAACTCACCGTCTCCTGGTGATTGGCTGAAAGTCATCTAGCCACCTTTCATCTCTATGGCAGAACTAGAAGTCACCGTTTCCTAGGTGATTGGCCCAGTCATCCAGCTATTCCATATTTAAGGGAGGACTAGAATTCACTGTCTCCTGGTGATTGGCCGAAAGACATCCAGCCACCTTTTATCTCCAAGGCGGAACTAGAACTCACTGTCTCCTGGTGATTGGCTTAAAGTCACCCAGCCTCCTTTCAACTTTAAGGTGAAACTAGAACTCACCATCTCCTAGTGATTGGCCCAAAGTCACTCAACCACCTTTCCTCTATAAAATGGATTTAGAACTCACTGCCACCTGGTGATCGGCCCAGTCACCAAGCCGGCTTTCATGCCTAAAGCGGGACTAGAAACTCACTGTCACCTGGTGATTGTCCCAAAGTCACCCAGCTGCCTTTCATGTCTAAAGCAGAACTAGAACTCACTGTCACCTGGTGATTGGCCCAATGTCACCCAGCTGCCTTTCATCTCTATGGCAGAACTAGAAGTCACCGTTTCCTAGGTGATTGGCCCAGTCACCCAGCTATATTCCATGCTTAAGGCAGGACTAGAATTCACTGTCTCCTGGTGATTGGCCCAAAGTCACCCAGCTGCCTTTCATCTCTATGGCAGAACTAGAAGTCACCGTTTCCTAGGTGATTGGCCCAGTCACCCAGCTATATTCATGCTTAAGGCAGGACTAGAATTCACTGTCTCCTGGTGATTGGCCCAAAGACCCCCAGCCACCTTTTATCTCTAAGGCGGAACTAAAACTCACTGTCACCTGGTGATTGGCCCAAAGACCCCCAACCACCTTTCATCTCTAAGGAGGAACTAGAACTCACTGTCACCTGGTGATTGGCCCAGACACCCAGCCACCTTTTATCTCCAAGGCGGTACTAGAACTCACTGTCACCTGGTGATTGGCCCAGACACCCAGCCACCTTTTATCTCCAAGGCGGTACTAGAACTCACTGTCACCTGGTGATTGGCCCAAAGACCCCCAACCACCTTTCATCTCTAAGGAGGAACTAGAACTCACTGTCACCTGGTGATTGGCCCAGACACCCACCACCTTTTATCTCCAAGGCGGTACTAGAAGAACTCACTGTCACCTGGTGATTGGCCCAAAGACCCCCAACCACCTTTCATCTCTAAGGAGGACTAGAACTCACTGTCACCTGGTGATTGGCCCAGACACCCAGCCACCTTTTATCTCCAAGGCGGTACTAGAACTCACTGTCACCTGGTGATTGGCCCAGACACCCAGCCACCTTTTATCTCCAAGGCGGTACTAGAACTCACTGTCACCTGGTGATTGGCCCAAAGACCCCCAGCCACCTTTCATCTCTAAGGAGGAACTAGAACTCACTGTCACCTAGTGATTGGCCCAAAGTCAACCAGCCACCTTTTATCTCCAAGGCGGAACTAGAACTCACTGTCACCTGGTGATTGGCCCAGACACCCAGCCACCTTTTATCTCCAAGGCGGTACTAGAACTCACTGTCACCTGGTGATTGGCCCAAAGTCGGCTTCTGTGCCTAAGGCAGGACTAGAATTCACTTTCTCCTTCTAAGCGGCCCCAAAAATCATCCAGTTTTGACACCCCTGCCCTAGGCAGAACTAGAGCTCCCGTCTCCTGGTTTCTAGCCAGTTTCTGACTTTGAAAACAAGGGTCTTCAGATGAGCCAAGCATCATCTATTCCAAAGAAGGCAGGTAAAAAAAAGCTCTCCAGCTACATCCAGTCTCTCTCGAATTATTCTGTATTTATTTGATTCTTTGCAAATTCATCCATCAGAAAAAGCAAAATAGTGGGAGGTTTGGGGGGAATCCAGGATTTTGGGGAGATCAGGAAGAGTATTAATTAATATTAATTAAGTAATATTAATTAATATAAGTAATATTAATTCGAATGGAAATTACTCTCCATGCAAGAATTCCGATTTTCCTGCGCAGAGAAATTTCATCTCTTAAAATGTCCCATTCATCCCTGCCAAAGCCCATTGCTGGCTGGGGATGATGGGTCTTTTTTTGCATCTAGACGACGGAGGACAGAGCTCCCAGGTCCCAGCGGCGAAAAAAATCCCGATGCTCATTTAAAAAGCCAAAGAAAAATATTTTTTTAAAAAAAAAAAAATCCGGATTTTTTTTTTTGCAAGCCGGATCTGATAAGAATTGAACGGCGGGCGCCCGTTGGAGAAGGCGAGCCAACTCCACGCCGAAGACTAAGGAAAGAGTCCGACAGCGCCCCCTTTGGATGGCTGGAGGGAAATAAACCCGGGCGCTGACCAATCAGGATGCTTTTTTAAAAAAAAAAAAAAACGCTCGGAGTCCCTCCTTCGGCTCCGACCCGCCTTCGTTGCCCAAGGCCACGCCTCCCCTTCTCGTTCGCCCATTGGCCGCTTTCCCTCGGCGCCACCAATCCCCTCCCCGCCAGGCTTTCGGTTGGAATTCTCGGCGCGCGCGAGGCGGAAGGCTGGGGGGGGGGGGGGAGCGTTTCATCGAGCGCGCGGGGCAAAAAAAGAAGAAAAAAAAAAAGGCGGGTAGAGCGGCCACGCCCTCCCGTGACGTCACAGGTTGGCCTTCCAGGGCTTTGTTAGGGAAGGGAGGGGGTGTCCTGGGGGGGGGGCAAGAATTTGGGGAGTGGGGGGGGAGATGCACGTTGGGGGGGGGAGTTTGTTAATCTTGAAATCTAATATTTTTTGGCTTTGCAATTGCTTTGCAGTTCCTGGGGGGGGGGAGTAAGGAGAGCTTCACCGGTTGCATTGCTGCCTGCTGCTTGGCAGGGTATTATAGCAAAGGACCAGCTAGGAGAGGGAGGGGGGGGCTTTGGGAAATGGGGGTGGGAGAGGATGCAAGGGCTTGCTGAAAGTTATTGGGGGTGGGGGAGAGATTTTCCTTGGGGACAGGGGAAAAAAATCAGAATAAAGCCCTTTCCCCATTTGCCCTACGCAGCGGGTTGGACTAGATGACCTCGGGTGCCCCTTGGCAGCCCTGGGATGCTCTGATCTCTGTTAGGATTGGCAGGGAGGGTGCACTTGCCTGGGTTGGATCTCTGGGGTGGCAGTTTGTTTTTTAATAGCCACTGATTTGTTTTTATTCTGCCCTTACTGATTTTATAAATGGGACTCAAGATGGCCAATGTACCCAACGTTCTTTCTTCGGCCAGCCCTAGAAGGCGGGCTGGGCTGAGAGGAACTGGCTCAAAGTCACCCAGCTGGCTTTGGTGCCTAAGAAGGGACTAGAACTCCCAGTCTCCTGGTGATTGGCCCAAAATCACCCAGCTGGCTTTGGTGCCTAAGGCAGGACTAGAACTCCCAGTCTCCTGGTGATTGGGGCAGAGTTACCCAGCCAGCTTTCATACCTAAGGTGGGACTAGAACTCACCATCTCCCGGTGATTGGCCCAGAGAGTCACTCAACTGGCTTTCCTGCCTAAGGTGGGACTAGAACTCCCAGTCTCCTGGTGATTGGGCAGAGTTACCCAGCCGGCTTTCATGCCTAAGGTGGGACTAGAACTCACACTCTCCTGGTGATTGGCCCAAAGTCACCCAGCCAGCTTTCGTGCCTAAGGCAGAACTAGAACTCCCAGTCTCTTGGTGATTGGCCCAGAGTCACCCAGCTGGCTCTCATACCTAAAGCGGTACGAGAACTCACCATCTCCCAGTGATTGGCCCAAAATCACCCAGCTGGCTTTGGTGCCTAAGGTGGGACTAGAACTCCCAATCTCCTGGTGATTGGGGCAGAGTTACCCAGCCAACTTTCATGCCTAAGGTGGGACTAGAACTCACCATCTCCCGGTGACTGGCCCAGAGAGTCACTCAACTGGCTTTTGTGTCGAAGGCGGAATTAGAACTCACCATCTCCCGGTGATTGGCCCAAAGTCACCCAGCTGGCTTTCCTGCCTAAGGTGGGACTAGAACTCCCAGTCTCCTGGTGATTGGGGCAGAGTTACCCAGCCAGCTTTCATGCCTAAGGCAGGACTAGAACTCACACTGTCCTGGTGATTGGTCCAATGTCACCCAGCTAGCTTTCCTGCCTAAAGTGGGACTAGAACTCCCAGTCTCCTGGTGATTGGGCCAGAGTTACCCAGCCAGCTTTCATGCCTAAGGTGGGACTAGAACTCACACTCTCCTGGTGATTGGCCCAGAGAGTCACTCAACTGTCTTTCCTGCCTAAGGTGGGACTAGAACTCCCAGTCTCCTGGTGATTGGGCCAGAGTTACCTAGCCAGCTTTCATGCCTAAAGCGGGACTAGAACTCACACTCTCCTGGTGATTGGTCCAATGTCACCCAGCAAACATTCATGCCTAAGGCGGAACTAGAACTCCCAGTCTCTTGATGATTGGCCCAAAGTCACCCAGCTGGTTTTCGTGCCTAAGGCGGAACTAGAACTCCCAGTCTCTTGGTGATTGGCCAGAGTCACTCAGCAAACTTTCATGCCTAAAGTGGAACTAGAACTCCCAGTCTCCTGGTGATTGGCCCAAAGTCACCCAGCCGGCTTTCGTGCCTAAGGCGGAACTAGAACTCCCAGTCTCTCGGTGATTGGCCCAGAGTCAGTCAGCAAACTTTCATGCCTAAGGTGGGACTAGAACTCCCAGTCTCCTGATGATTGGCCCAAAGTCACCCAGCCGGCTTTCGTGCCTAAGGCGGAACTAGAACTCCCAGTCTCCTAGTGACTGGCCCAAAGTCACCCAGCGGCTTTCATGGTTAAAGCCAGACTTGAACTCATGGTCTCCTACTTTCTAGCCTGGTGCCTTAAACTAGCTATCTTCCGTACCATGTGAGAAAGGAGAGGCTTGGCTCAAATTGTGAGGGAAACATCCTCTCCCCAAAACATGGTGTCAACCCCTATTTATAATATAAGATTCCGCCTCTTCTCTAACCGGTAGCCCCTTCCAATGGGCACGAGTTCGAATCCTAACCCCCCCCCTTTCCCCTGGTGAATTAATTAATCCGGAGGGCAGCAGGTTGAATTTAAAAAAAAAAAAATCTGATATGATCATTACATGCTTTTTATAAATCCGTACACCCGAAAGGAATCCGCCGGATTTATCTCCCGGCCATTTTTTTCTTCCAACAGATCCCTCTTCCCGATTTTATTTCCTTTTTTTTTTTTTGTTTTGGCAGTTTCCCCCGAGGAACGGGAAGGAATGGCGACTTCGGAAGCTGCGAACGGTAATTTCCTATAACCAGGTCATCCCCCTCTGGCTTTTTGGGAGGGAACGTAAAAAAGAATTTAAAAAGGGGGGAAATTAGCTTTATTTCCTCCACCCCCTATGTCTGTTTCCGCAGATTGTAGGAGCCAACTGCCCCCGTGCTCTTTGACGGATGATGATCTCTCGGCTAATCCTGGCTTGGCTAACCTCCTTACGGGTCTGAAAAAACACATCGATCCTTCGGGGATGACCATCGCTTTGGCCCAACCATTGGAAGAGGTGAGATGAGAGATGGCTGGGGGGGTTGAGGGGAGAGCAAGGAAGTGGATAATAGTCGGCATACAGGTAGTCTTTAAGAAATTAATAGAGTTGGAAGGGACCCTTGTAAGGTCATTTAGTCCGACCCCCGCCCAAGCAAGAGACCCTACACCCATGATGACGAGCCTACGGCACGCGTAGCCATATCGGTGGGTATGTGAGCTCAGCTCTGGCGTACATGTGTGCTCTGGCCAGCTGATTTTCGGGCCTTCTGGGCCCACCAGAAGTAGAGAAACGGACTGTTTCCTGCCTCTGGAGGGCCTCTGGGTGGTGGTGGGGAAGGCCCGTTTTTTACTCTCCCCAGCCTCCAGAGCCTTTCTAGGAACCTGGGGAGGGCAAAAACAGCCTTCCCAACACACACACCCCCCCGGAAGCCCTCCCCATTCGGGTCTTCTCCACGTAAAATTGGAAGTGTCTTGGCGACGTTTTGACGAAGTCTCATTCGTCATCTTCAGGCTGTGTTCTCGGCTTCGTCCTTCTAGGAGCAATGTGAAGCACAAAGCACGAAGCCGAGAACACCAGCCTGAAGATGACGAATGAGACTTCGTCGAAACGTCGCCAAGACACTTCCAATTTTACGTGGGAGAAGACCCGAATAACCAAAGACCTACATATACATAATATGTATATGTATATGTATATGTATATGTATATATATAAATTTGTTACATACATATTTTACATTTTATCTTCTCCCCTATTTGTGGTGTTCTTTATTTCTGCTCTCAAGCCATTCGTACCATTTGTTCCAAATTGTAATAGTAATCTCTTCTTTTTCTTTCATTTCTTTTCTTAACTTGTCCATCTCAGCACATTCTAAAACTTTTTTTTTAATCACTTCTTCATCTGTCGGTGTTTCTTCCCGTTTCCATTTTTGTGCATATGTTATTCGAGCCCGAGCTGCTGTTATGATTTATTTTATTTTTTTATTTTATTTCAAATTTATATACCGCACCTTCTCCCGAGGGACTCAGGGCGCTGTACAGCCAGATAAAAAACATACAATACCAACATTAAAAACAATTAAAAAGATATATATTAATTTGGCCCCAATTTAAAATAACAAACCAATTAAAAATATTTTAAAGATATGTTAAGCTGATGTGTAAAATGTGTTAATGATGTGTAAAATCAGATATTTTATTTCTTTGGTGTATGTTCTCGTAAATATTCCTAGTAGAAATGGAAAATTAGGATCTAAATCGGTGTTTTTCGACTTAAGACGCTTGAAGACGGGTGGACTTCAAATCCCAGAATTCCCCAGCCAGCTAGGCTGGCTGGGGAATTCTGGGAATTGAAGTCCATCCCTCTTCAATGACCAAGGTTGAAAGAGATGAGGTAGAATTTAAGGAAGATCCTAAGGGGAACGGGGGATTATGTTGCATTGCAGATCTTAAGCTTAGAATGAGCAAATGGATCACATATTCCCCGCTCGGCGTGTGAGAAATCCCGTCGATCGTCTCTGCAGTACAGAGAGATTAAAACAAACGCCGCAAAGGAAAATATTTACCCACGTAAGCTGCGGGATTCGACTTCTCTTGAGGCGGACGTATGTTTCATTTATGATAGCGCGTGACGTACATACAGCAGCTAAGCCACGCACGCAAGAAGACGGCGGAAGTCATCGGGGGAAATCGTGCGTTAAATCGCTCGATCCGGTTCCTGAGGACGGACAGAAAATCTGTGTGCCTTTTGTCCAGCGTGTTTATTTAGTTCAGAGATCTTGTCGGGTTTTGTGAATCGGGTAGCTCCGTTCTTTTCTGGATTAAAAGCGGGGGGGGGGGGGCATATTTGGACTCAGGATGTTCAGCAGGCCTGAAATGAAGTTAATTCTCCCCGCTGGCACTCCAAGAAAACTTGAAAAAAAGAGGTGTTTTGGTGTCTGCTTGCCAAATAGTCTGTGTTCAGTGTCCCTAAACTGAATAGTCTATTACAGCTTCTATACATTGCCTGCCTGCCTGCCTCTCTCTCTCATCTATCTATCTCTGTCATCTATCTATCTCTCTTTCTCATCTATTATCTCTCTCTCATTTATCTATCGATCTATCTCTATCATCTATCTTTCCGTCTCTTCCTTCCTTCCTTCCTTTTCTTTCTTTCTTTTCTTTCTTCCTTCCTTCTTTTATTCCTTCCTTCCTTCCTTCCTTCCTTCCTTCTTTCTCTTTCTTTCTTTCTCTTTCTTTTTTCTTTCTTTTCTTCTGTCTGTCTTTCTTTCTTTCTTTCTTTCTTTCTTTCTTTCCTTTCTTTCTTTTCTTTCTTTCTTCCTTCTTTTATTCCTTCCTTCCTTTCTTCCTTCCTTTCTTTCCTTTTCTTCCTTTCTTTCTTCCTTCCTTTTCTTTCTTTCTTTTCTTTCTTTCTTTTCTTTCTTTCTTCCTTCTTTTATTCCTTCCTTCCTTCCTTCCTTCCTTTCTCTTTCTCTCTCTCTCTCTTTCTTTCTTTCTTTCTTTCTTTCTTTCTTTCTTTCTTTCTTTCTGAGCGGAAGGCAGAACAATTTTAAGAAGGACCATTAAACAAAGGAATTACCTTGGCGGTTGACAAGGAAAATAGTTCTCTCTGGAGAGTTTTCTGAATTGGATAAAACGCTGAAGAGGGAAAAGTGTGTGTGTTTTGGCTGGCTTCCTAATGCCGCCTCCAGCCTTTTCCTTCTCTTGGCCCAGCGCTGGCAATAGACTACCCTGTGTGTAGCAAGGTTTGCAAGCAGGGCCAACATCCCCGCTCAGCCTGGGAATTCAGAAGGAGCCTTGTCTGAAGCTGCCGGGCAGGGTGGAGCAGGGCAACCTCTGGAAGTTCAAGGTGACCTGGACCAAGAACTTCACTCTTTTTTTTTTTTTTTTTAATTTGATTTATATGCCGCCCTTCTCCGAAGACTCAGGTCGGCTTACAATGTGCTCAGCAATAGCCTTCATCCTTTTGTATATTTATACAAAGTCAGCTTATTGTCCCCACAACTGGGTCCTTCCTTGCTAGAAGTTTCAGCTCTCTCGCTGTTGTGGTCCACCAGCAGCCTGCGGAGCTGGCAGTGGAGTCGGAGAGTGAGGAGGCTGGGGAGGACCATGGGCCAGTCCTGGAGTCAGGGGAAGGCCCGGATGAGGGCTCTGCGTCAGAGGCAGAGATGGGGCCAGGGCCACCTGGGAGTGATGCACGGACTCCGGAGCCTCCAGAGGCGGACATCAGAGAGGCAGAGGAACAGGAGGAGCCTGTTCCTAGTCCACGCATGCACAGAGCTGCCAGAAGGCAACAGGAGCTAAAGCAAATCGGACGACTCGGGAGTACGGCCAGGAGATGATTGGCCCCTCCCATAAGGCTTAAAAGACCAGCAACGGCTCTTGGGCTCTTTGTAGGAAAGCAACATTGCTACATCTGTTTTCCAGTCGGCGTCTCTTGTTTCTGAACTTCGTGGGGCTTGCCGAGAAAGGCCTCTCGCAGGGTGTCAAAGAAGATAAAGGTTTGGGATGAGCCCGAAGTACTTTTTCTGAAGTTGTTTTGGAATTAATTTGGACTAAACTGGGAAGAAGTAATTCTCAGCTGTAATTCTCAGCTGCGGCGCGCGGGTGGTTATGGCGCAACTCGTTGTGCCCGCGTGACACCCCTCCTGCGCGAGCTGCACTGGCTCCCGTGGTCTTCGGGTGCGATTCAAGGTGTTGGTTACCACCTTTAAAGCGCTCCATGGCATAGGACCGGGTACCTTCGAGACCGTCTTCTGCCACCAATAGCCTCCCACCGACCAGTCCGCTCCCACAGAGAGGGTCTCCTCAGGGTGCCATCAGCCAAGTTATGTCGGCTGGCGACACCCAGGGGGAGGGCCTTTTCTGTGGGAGCCCCAGCCCTGTGGAATGAACTGCCCCCGGAAATACGCAAGATCTCCGACCTCCGAGTGTTTCGTTGCGCACTGAAGACCCTGTTGTTCCGCCAGGCAGGGCTATCAACTTAATAATTTTAATTGGGGTATTTTAAATGTTTGGGGTTTTAAATCGGCCAAATCTATGTAATTATTTTAATTTTTAATTATTGTTGTGTGTTGTGTTTTTAAATTGGCTGTACACCGCCCTGAGTCCTTCGGGAGAAGGCGGTATAGAAATAAAATTATTTATTTATTTATTTTATTTATATAATAAAATAGTTTTGTTTGAGACTAATTATGTCCTGTAATGACTAAGTGAGCCTACAAACCTTGCCAGATAGAATGAGAATCCCCCTGTCCAAAACATATATGCTAACCCCTCCCCGGTCTCTGTCTCTACAGGGTCAGATTTGCAAATATGCATCCCCAAAGCTCTCACCTGCTGCTCCCGCAAGATGGAGGAGAGATACCAAGGCTTGGCTCGTTCCAACATGGAGCAGATTCTCCAGACGGCCAGCATGGATTTGAAATTCCTCATCATGCAGAATGCGGCCCTTTTCCAAGGTAGGTGTGGTGCACAGAGGATTTGTGCTCTGGGATTCGTGTCCAGCGGGTGGGGTGTCCATTGCTTATGGATTGTGGGTTCAGAATTGATCTGACCACTTCCAAAATAACAGCACGTTTTTGTATATAAATATAGGGTGGGGGGAGGAGTCCTTGGTGGCAGATGGAGAACCAAACCCAGCTTCTCCCCAGCTCCTATTTTGCGTATATTTTCCTGCTGCAATCATGGAAATGCCACAGGGCCTGAAAAAATCTAATAATCTAATAAAGTTTGCTAAGTGAACACAGTAATGGACACGCCTGGATGGCATCTCGCTAAATGCCAAGCGACTCTCCCCGATCTTCATCAGCAAAAAGTCTGATGCAGCTTCAGCGGGAAGGAAATTCAATTTGGCGCAGGAGAACATCGGTCGGACTTGGCCCTGTCACTCAAGCGGCCCCCGCGTGGGGCTGATGGAAACATCCTGAAATGAGTTGTGAAGGGCCGGCGCAGCATGTGTGCGCGTCATACGAATGGGTTCGGTGACATTTCCATACGTGGCATCAAGCGC